TCTCTTACAGGCTCAACTTAGACCAGGAGACTGCAAGCCCTGCCTGTTCCCTCGTTCTTGTCCCAGAACTTATCGTTCTAAGGTCTCGAAGGACAGGCTATGCATTTCTTGTGCCGTAAACCTGGTGACCTCTCTGGGTGAGTACACAGGGCCTGGTGTTCTTACCAAATTCACTTTCCATGTGTCATCTTAGATCTGGATCAACAATCTGGACTGGTCCAGCGAGTGTGTAGCCCTGGAGATTGGCTAAACGGTGGCCTGGAAAGGCTGAGAATGATACACAGTTATTTGTGCAGTTTTTCAAGAGTGCGTACAGGCTGTGTATGAAGTGCTAAGGTATTTAAGTATGAGCTAAAGGTAACGTTGTACAGTCCATGTTCAAGGCATTTCAGATGCCAAAACCAGAGGTCCTAAATCATTATAAAACCAGGTTAGGAGTACTTTGCAATGGCTCTTTTTCATCTGAGCACCTACCCATCCTCTCCCTGCTTGAGCTGCACTGTCCTCTGCAGGGGCTGCCAGGTAAAATGTTGGTAGGAGAGCAGGCTGCTACCAAACAGTGCACGTACACCTGAGGAGAAGAAAAAAGTACCATGTGGTCCATACCAAATCCCTCTTGGCAGAGCGTTGTTTTTTGTCCACCTTCTGCAGAAGTCCAGAGAGGTTGTGGATGCCCCATTGTTGCAAGTGTTCAAGGCCAGGCTGGATGGGGCTTTGAGCAATGTGGTCTAGTGAAAGTTACAGCTGATTAGACTTAGGCTTGTCTGAACACTTGCATGCAGCACCTTCTAGCTGAACCTGCCTGGAATTTCAAATTTGGTGTCAAAGAAACCCTCAGGCAGTTTGGTAACTGAGAGGCTGAGACAGGAGAAGTTAAAACCTCAAGAGCTGCAGTGAGGCTATGTATCAAAGCTAGACAGAAACTCAATCTAGTGCGAGATGCAGCTGTGCACTTAGGAAGCAGCACGAGCCAGAATTGCATCATGCTCATTTCTAGCAAGTTTGCAAGTTGAACTGTTTATGAAAGGCCAAGTCAAAAAATTCTGTGGTTCCTTAAGCTGCCCAGGCAGGGGCACTGCCATGGCTTGTACCAGTACATGTGCTAGAGTCCACCCAACTGGGTGCACTAGGAGCAAAGCACCCTCAGTTGACTGTCCTGGGGTTTTCTTTGCTCTTCTTAGACCTCTTAGAGGAGGGAAGAACCTCAAAAGTGTGAGACCAAACCCTTGTGCCTCTGCTTCCCTGCCCATTGGGCAGGCATCTGAGGAGATTGCTAACTGGCTGGGACAGATGGGAGACAACAGAGCTGACCTTCGTGTGGGTATTATGGCGTGTAAGTTCTCTGTTCTAGATATTTTGAGCTGAAGTGCTATGAATCTGATCCTATAAAAAGCCAGAAACACCATATAAAAATCACATTTACATACCAAACTCTCTTGTTTACTCCAGCTAGTCCAATCTCAAGTCACTGAAACTGTTGCAGAACACATTTGAGAAAAGAACTCAGTTAAAGCTGTGCACCAGTCAGGCTCCTTGGGTTGAATTCTGTCTAGGTCTTAAGTCTGTGAGGTCTTTAAATTGACTATTTTTTAAATGGTTGGAAGAAGTTCAGAGGGTCGTTCATGAGTGGGAGGTGAGCCTTTCGCTTAATCTTACCTGTTCCAGTCGGCGTGCCAGGGTCCTTACTGCCAGCCTTTTAAAATGAGGAGGGTGTCTCACCCTGGGGCTGACAGCAACTGGACAGACCTCTGCAACATACTCGCTGCCTTTAATCTCACACCTATTTGAGAGAACAGACCAACAGATCTAGAAAAAATGAGGGCTTTGCTGAGAAACACGTCAGTCATTCAATAACTACTTGCCCATCCACAGTGATGTTCCATCTTGGGGTGCTGTTGAAGTCTAGAGACCCGGTTACCCAGCAGTTTTCCAGGTATAACTCAGCATCGGGGCTCTCATCTTTCAGCTCCACCTCGAGAAACACAGGGTCCACAGGTCGCTTGAGTATTGCCATGTCGGGCTCGTAGAATTCCTCGAAAGATTCATCTTGAGAAAACGTCAAGGGATTTTGTTGTTGTTTAATTTTATTTAGATTGAAATATGTTTGGAAATTTTCTGATTTTCTTAGGAGAGTTACCTTTGGCCACTCTTGAAACTACATTCAGGGCTTGTCTTGTCCTTCTGTATACTGCAGAAAGGGAGACGTTAGTGAGGTTCTTTAGTAGGAAGCAGGACATGTCTCAACAGAGGAACTTACAACTGAAAGAGTGACAGAACTTTAAAAATGGAGGAAGAGAATTGCTTACCTGCAGTATTTGATCTTGGTACCATCGTACCAGAGCCAAAGGCAGGTGATGTGGATGGATCACTACTGAAGGCACCTAGCACTAAGGTTTCTTTTGCTCGATAGTAGCACAAGACTGTTAGTCTTTTGGGAAAGAGAAAAGGTAATTTTTGTGTGCACTTATACTTTCCAGCAGCTGTACCAAAGTGAGCAGTAGCTCCTACCTGTAGTCTGGATCTCTTGTGATTGTTGGTATACTCTGTCCTGGAAGAGTCTCTTTCTCATAAGAGATTTCATTTTCGTAAATAATGTGATCACCTTCAAACTGTGCATATGGGAAGCTCATTAAAAATTGGATCTTCTCAGGAGCTGGGGCAGGGGAACAAAAGAGAAAATGCACAAGAGACAGAGACTTCCAGCAGATGTGTCTGCTCTGGCCATGGGCTTACCCTTACTGAAGTGCCACAGGTAGTGACATGGAACTTGAAGAAGGCATGTCCTTCATTATACTCTCTAGGCTTGCAAGAGCTATCCCTTAGTTTGGTTTTACTCATATTAATGGCAGGAACTGTCTTCATTTGGGCAGATATCATTATGGTACCATCTGGGTGGCATACTGAGAAAATCAGAGAGTTGGTTATAAACTCAAGGAAAGAACCACAGATCTTTTTATTGATTGATCAGTTGTATAACTTACTTATAAATGCCGCAGAGTTAAAAGTGCAGCCAACGGAGAATGTCTGTAAGGTCTCCATAGTTCTCACTTTCCTTAGGGCAACATTAAACCTTGCTTTAATCTTCTGAAAGGACACTTCCTGTGAAGAAGGTGATGGAAGAGGTTTTATGTTAAGGCATGTGATCCATATGTACGAAGTTCTGCTTTTTAGCTTCTGCCACTTGAATGCTAACAAGTCACAAGAGTTAAGTCATTGTGAAGAGCCTGATGCAACATGGGGACAGAAGTTTTCTTATATGAATTAATTGGTCACTGAGAGATAAATTTTGGCTGATTATTGTAGAATAGTTCAGATGTTTATTACAGCATCAATTTTCCCCTGACATGTCTTAACATTTCTACAAAATGTTCCTTTAAAAGAGCTTCTTTCATAAAAGCTATATTGAAATATTGTTTCTGGCTCAGTGCAGATGGGACATTTTGCCTCATCTTACTAAAAATACTGAGGAGTCTGTTTTTGAAGAGTCGGTGCATATCTTTTAGAGACAATTTAGCACTGCAGATTACATAATACATGGCATTTCCAGAAGGGTCCAGGTTCGATACTTCTTGTCCTACTTGCACTGGCTTAGAGTCCTTCCCTCTGGAGGTTTTCCAATAAGTGTAATACTACAGCACTGCAAACTGTGGCTGTATGAGCAAACAGTTCTGCGTGCTTTAAAGAAGGCATTGCTGTACAGTTCACATACCTCATAGACAACTCCCACAGCAAACAGAGGTATTTGCAAGATCAAGTGTGTAGAATTGGTAGCTGCAAGATACCCATTGGTAAGTGCAACGTGCCGGTTCAGGGGCTTGTTGTCAAGATACAGGTTCCAATACTGGTGCAAGCCCAAAGTAGGGATGGCTAGATACAGGTTTTCTTCATCACAGTAACCAACTGCTTCTGGTAGTTCTGTGGGAAGAAAGTGGGATGAAGAGTTAGCAATGAAGAAAGGTTTGAGCGATGATGTTTCTCCCAGGCACGGATTTCTATCACGGGTAAATTTGGCACTGGCACTGCAGCAGCGCTGTTACGAGCATCCTGGCATCATCTGTAGGGCTTTGGCTGTGTTGTGCATGTAGCAGCTCACAATCAGTGGGATCAGGAATCCTCATGCTTTGGTGGTGGCCTGTCAGCTTGCTTCCAGGACTAGTCCCTGTTTCAGTAAGGCAAGCTGAGCTATCTATGTAAATATATTTTTTTGGTCAGTCTTCTTTGGGTTGAACCCAGAACTATTTCAAATATAAAACAGGACAGTGAGAAGACTGTCACCTTTGGGGCGTCCAAAATGGAAGAAATTTGAGAAAATACCAACCAGACTTCCTGACTATTTCAGTAACCTGCTAAGCACAGCACTTAGTAGATGATTGTCTCCTTACAGAAATGCTGTCTTTGGAGTTCACAGCAGTTTATTTGAGTCAGTTGAGTTCTGCCCTGAACACAGAGGCAGAATTGCAGCTCAGGACAAACTGAAAGTCGTAGCAACGTCTGAAAGTTTTGCCAGTAGATGTATGTTCAAGTCATGAGGCATCTTGTTTGCTGAGTTTGCAAGCCAACTTCTTCTACACACTAGTTTTTATTGCTCTCAATGTCTTGAGGGCAGAGTGTCTTGCCAGTATGCAGAAGAGCTGCCATCAGAAAAGCAGCAAGTTGGCTATGTTACCAATAATGAGCTATTGAAGGGTGGGGTTTTCCCAAAAGCTCTCATCCTCCATCTAATGCTGTTCTCACTGAATTCAATGAAAATCTGATCCGTGCTGTTGATGCAAACCAGTTAGTATCAGGGGAAAGCTTACCAATATCAGCTATCATACACTCCACCTCTGCTGAATGATAATAGAGTGTCATCTCCGGACCCACGCTTATAGTGTAGTTAACAAGGAGAGTGTATTTTGTTTCATTTCTGTTCACATACTGAAAGAGAGAGAAGAGTAAGGCTGCAGTAGCAATGGTTTCCAGCACAGACAGGCATGTATATCCTGAGCAGCACTAAATAATATTCCAGCACCATCCTCTCCCCTGCAAATAGCTCAGTCTCCAAAAACATCACTTCAGTTGGCCTAAAACTATTCAGAAATCTGGACTGGATTCAGCAGCAATTTCAGCCAAACATAAATGCAGAGGATGTAGTGCCTGTTCAAAAAATGGAGGCAGAAGTGAACACAGTGGTGTTTCCTCTGTAGTCCGCTGGTGAAAGAGCTCATAGAGGGAGATCTGGGTCCAAATCCTTCTTATTCTTCACTCAGAGCGTTGGCTGAATCCGAGAGAGTGAGTAATTGATGAGACAGAAGGTGTGAGGAGATGCTGTGAGAGACCCCTCTCAATATCCTCATGTACTTCACTAAAAGTGCCCCTAAAGCAAAACCTGCTGTTCAACCTGAAAGAAATACTTCTGAACATTTTTGGCTTGCTTTGATCCATAATGCAATTTAACTGTGGTTTGACTGCAACCTGAAAACTATTTGCACAACCTCTGATCCTGTATGTTCACAATGTTGTTCCTTGTAAGAGAAAATAGCATCACAGCCCTGCATGATTTGGTTGAAACAGCGGTAGAGGAGTTGCAGTTATGTATCCTCCCACTAAGATGAGAGGTTGAATTCCCTCTGTGAGTTTATACTTTTCCCAAGTATTTACATTAGAAATGGTCTGAAGCTTAACAAAATTACATTTTGAATACCCTGAGCCTGCCTGTATGTGCTCACACATTGCGTGCCCTGTGCCAGTGGTCAAATGGCTCTCACAAACAGTAGGTTCAGGAATTACTGGACGTTGGTAATCGGTGTTTGCAGGATTGCAATAATTGATTTATTTTTCCAAGGCACTTCTATTTCAAGGGACAGGATTTAGTAGAGGTTTGACAAACCTCTTCCTGCTGGGCACATGCTCGGGCATTAGCCATGCTGACAGACACTAAAGGAAATCATATTTCATACCATCTAATCACACCTGATGCTGCATGTATCCCAGAGACCTAGGGAGAGCAAGGTGGGGATATACAAGCCTCTAATCTTATTTCAGATGAGTTTAGACTCATTGACACCTTTATGATGGAGGAACAGTTGTTGGTTAATAAAAGATGAACTATGTTTTGAAAAGGGACTGCCCTACCTCCTCCACTCAGCTGCTGAAGTGACCTGCTGTGTCTTACCTCCTTTAGAACATACGGATCATCAAAAGAGACTTCCAGGATAAATCCTTTTGTTCTGTTAGAAAAAGGAGTTTCAAAAATCTTAAACCCATGGTGCTGTGCTTCCCTCAGGGTAAATGGCACATTTCCTATTGCGATTGCCACCAGAGAGACATCGGGAAGAAAGTGTCCAAATGCAACATTAAATAGCCTTTCGTCTGGCACGGTATCTGCAGGGAGAGAACATCAAATTACTGCTGATGTGGATCAAGTAACGAAGACAGTTGGGGTGGCCTCCCATTCAAGTTCCAGGAAACTTAGCCAACAGCCATCTCTTTAATGGCTCTGATTAATGAGTGTTTGTGTTCTAGTCAGATCTGAAATACTCTGAGTACACGAGAGTTTCTTCAAGCTGCAGGCAATTAGCAACAAATACATACAACTTGCTAGCAAGTGGGTTCAGTAACTTTCTAGAGGTGCACTATGATGTGCGATAACTTTCCTATAAAGAAATCTAGAATCTAGTTCAGCCACATAAAATATGGAAAAGCTATCATATTGTATGCCAAGAGGCTCCTTTTTCTTTCTATACCAGTTATCCAGTCAGCTCCAAAGTTGTTTACTGGCTTAATGCATTGGAAAATATAATTGAAAAAATATTACTACACCACTGGTTGGCACAGTGATTTCAGTATTCTCCCTAGATAACAAATGCAGACCGTTTTGGGGAGAAAATGCCATCAATAAATGCTGTCCTAAGACAGTTCTCCCCAGTGTGATAACTGCACAATGTAACATTTTTATTCTGGGGTCCCACGGCTCACTGGAAAAATCTGAATGATAGTGTGAAAAAAATGTTCATTGTCTTATCAGCAACTGATAATTTTAATTTCATCCCATGATGACAGGTGATAAATGACACATCCATTAAGGCTAAAGTTTTGAGGTTTTTTTGTAATACCTTGTAATACCATCTTGACTTCAGCTAGCAAAATGGAAGTGGGAGTTGAGAATGTTCTGGTGAATGTCGGTGTGTGGCAGAGGTCAAATGGAACAATGTATAACATAGCAAAAGCAAGAGATTGGTAAAAGGCATTGAGAGGAATGACTTACTGTTGATAACAGTTGGTATTTGTGGCATGAAAGGTGTAGTGATGGATTTGATGACAGTATACTTTGTGGTTTGCCAGTCTGCATCTGTCCACGTGTGCTCCAAGAACAAGTCAATACTGTAAATGACTCCGTACACACCACCAGATACGGAGCTCTAGGAGGTAAAATTTGTGATTAAGACTTAATTCTCAATAGCTCAATAGAGGAATGACTGCATGTGGTTAAAATTATTACACTAGAAAGAGAAAATGGTATTCTAGTACAGTTTGGGATGGATTTTTCTAAGGGAGTTTGGCCCACTTGTCTGGTCCATATCTGTCTCAGATACTGCTGAGATTCTCAGTAAGGAGGTATCAGGGTTGGGAGGGGTGTCCTCATTAAGTTTAGTAAGTGACCCTATTTGCATTTTTTTTTTTTTTTGCAATCCCTGAACTAGCTGTCGTGTTTCTCAATCTGTCCCAGTTCACTCCGAAAGGTTGTCAGGGCTTCCAACAGTTCTTCAGACCAAGTCTGCCTGGTGTTACATACACATAGTGATGTAAGTGTCCACTGATACACCAAACAGGGAACTTTGAACAGGATAAGCCAAAGTCACACCCATGTCATTTTCACAAATCTAACTGGTAAAGAGCTTTGTGAGAATATTGCCAGCTCCTTTATACTGAACATTTCTTTGGACACTGCCTCTATACCTGTAAATTATAGATTGACATAGGTTATACTGTGGCCAAAGCAGATGGCTTCACCCAAACTACATGCTGGGAGCGTGGTCCCATGCTAACTCATGCAGCCTTCATGGAAATTGTCAAGGAAGTTGCTCATCAACTCAAGTCAGAAGTGTGCCAGGACAACTCTCATAATGTAACAACACAGATAATTGGACTCTAGTGCCCATGAATCTCTTCACTCTTAATTTGTTAGTGTACTTTATAGATTATTAAGAAAAAGTAGTCTTGCTTCTCCTACGTTTTGTAATCAGAGATACTTGGTTTCTGAGCAGGTGCTTTCAAAACACAGAGAAGGAGCACGTAGGTCTTCAAATATTTTTTGTATCTAAGAATTTTAAGCAGCAATCAACCATTATTTGGAATGATTTGGAATGATCATGATTTAGAAACATCTTCCATGGTGCAGGCCCTCAAATGTGTTGGTATGTGATGGGTTTGTACTAACCTTTAGCTTGCCTCCTTCTGCTCCAATAGGGATAGTTATTCTGATGTGTGTCTTGTTGTGCTCCAGTAAGTAGTTCTTCTGCTCTGGTTTTACTATGACTTGGCCATCGACTCCCATTAAAATGTTTTTAGACAGAAAGGTGAATTCTTGAACCACTAATGTTGGGATAACACTTGGCACAGTCCATGTTAGCGTAGTGTCAGTGAAACTGATGCCATCTGTTGAGTTAGATAGACAGTCCCAGAACACCGGGCAATTGGAATTACTGGTGAGTCTTCACTATACCATGGCTGTATTTCCAATACTCCTTTTCAGCAGGGTAACTTTACAGCTTTCCCTAATGAAACACCTTGTAGGATATGAGCCAACTGATGACTGTTCTGTCACAGAAACCCTGATGCTCAAAGTAGACTTGCATCACGAGTTTCAGATGGGTAGTTAATTTATTCAGAAGAACCAACAGTCATGCTCCCAGTTACCCACCCTGTTGTCCTTCTTGTCCCAGGGGTTTTGCCTTACTGTCAAAAGAAGTGTGGCACAGCCACCTGTTTAGGCCTTCTTGAAATATTGGCTTCAAGATCACGATAACTTAAAACACCCTGCTTCCTCACCAATTGTTCAAATGAATAGTGTTCTGTGAGAGACAGGAGGTGCAGCCACCACTGTTCTGCAAAAAGCCAGGCTAGCTCTGTCTCTCCAGAGAAAAGGTCTAGGTGAGTCCCAACAATGCAGAGCTGCATCCCCTACATAGATTTGTAGGACAGTGGAGAGCAAAGGCTGTGAGTTTACTCCAGGGAAGATTCCCTGGCCCTTCTGTAGTGGTTTTACTTGTGTCCAGTTCCCTGCATCTAACATGTGGGTTTGAGAAACCAGAGACAAGGCACGACAGTGCATGGGGAACGAGGTAATGTAGCATCACAGCAGGGAACATGTTTGACTCGGACTCAGCTCATGCTGCTCTGGGGGCAGCTTGTAAACCTCTTCTCTTACAGAGTAGGTCACAGGGAAATGGGGAGACTGTGTTTTCTACTACCTCCTTAGGCGGTTATTTTTGGTGAACAAGGAAGAAGTCCTTACCGACAGGACAAGAGACAGTTGTGTCAATCATCAAAAGCAGCCACCGCTGCCTGTACATGGAAGTGGAAGTCACCATGTTCATATTTACACCACTGACCTGTTGGGATGTGGGCAGAAAAAGAGAACTGATGTCCTAGAGAGGCAGTGGAAACAGCACAGTTTTGTGTCTGATCAAGACCAACAACTCACCACACTGACGTCAGACTCGTTGCTGTGGTAGGGCGCACGGAGGTACACGCGGGACAGCGTATTATTGAAGCTGTAGCCCAGTTTTGCTGCATCGCTTACCATTATTGTCTTTCTCCCTGATGGAGAGACAAACATCAGTTGCCATAGCTGGTATGCAACATTTTGAGTCTGCAAGAGAGAGATGAGCTGCATGAGATCTAAGTCTACCAAAGTCTCTTAAAAAACTATGATATTGTAACATCTGTTTTCCTCTTAGAACCTGGAGTAACCGGAGTCACACTAGACTCTGCTAATCCACTGCAGGCAAGAAACACCCTTGATATAAAGGTAAGGAATTCAGTAGCTCTTTAAGTTGTCTTTGTGGCAGCCCTGGAAGAAACATAGACTGGTGGCCTTAAACAAATCCCCTTGGACAAAGTGCCTTTGCTGTGAATAAAATGGTTTCTTTCATATCTGTCGATTCTGGAGCAGTCCAGAGGCCAAATGACAGAGTTCCTTTTATAATACATAGCCATACTGTGTCAAAGATAAGAAGAGAGGAATATCTATACTGGTCTAAACAGAGTGCCCTGAAATGATAACCATTTGGAGGGACAGTCAACAGGAAAAGTGGGCATAAGGAGCAAGTAAAACATGAGAAAAATAGAACAAGTGTATATATTTCCCCCCTAATACTTTCCAGCCTCAAATAATTTTCGGCTCAGGGACTGCTGAGTTATCTGTAGCTTCTTTGTATTTTGTATGTCTTACCAGATTTCTCTTCGCTCATTTTTTCCAGACTCTCCTTGAGATCGAGCAAGCTGTTAGCAGCCACAACATCTCTTGGCAAGGAGTTTGACAGATTCACTGCCCATTGTGTGAAGAACCACCTACCTTTGTTTGTCTTGAACTCAGTTTCCACTAATGTAACAAGCATATGGCTCTGTTCTCCCAACTAAATGTCTTTTTGCAGTCTAGAGCTCTAAGAAAACTTCAGAGGTTTTTTTGGTACTTGATGGCATCTTTGCCATCTCCCTTTTTTTGACAGAGATGGAGCTATGCCCCAAGAGTAACTCATGAGATTAGTGAGAAGAGGCAGGCTAGGAACTGTTAGGAAAGACTCTGCTTCATACCTCTGGCAGTGCTGACATCCATGCTACTGTGTAGTCATTTGAAACTGCGGGGACATCGGTCTTCACTGACACCTGGGGACACAGAGAAGATTTGTTGGGAACAAACAAACCTTTAGCATTTTTACAGGCATGGGGAGCAGAGAGAGGGCTTTCAGATTTCTTCTCCAGTGTCTGTCGGGATTTAGCAATTTACATTCACTGGAGGTAATTAAAGTGTTTCCAGAAAGGTTCTTGATAGTGATAATTTCTGTGGTCTTAAAATGAAGATTAAAGCCACGGCATTTATGGCAGTGCGTGTACAGCAGAGGGAATGCTTTGTGTATAACCAGGTAAATCTAAAGTCCTGTTTTGTATCTGGTAATCTGTAAAATAGATCCCACTCTGGAGACTTTCAGGGGCATCTGGGTCTCTCTGTATAGGGAACCAGGCTATTGGTGTTGACAGGACTGGTTCCCACTTCCCATGCAGGCTGAACCTCTGAAAATGCAGGATCCCCAGTGCCTAAGGGAGATGCTATGGTGTAATGCTTGCCAGTACACGCTGCAGAGTGAGACAAGTTCTGGGCACTCAGCTGGGAGCTGGTGTTTGCCCCAGACATCTGTACCATGGTGTAAGTGTGTTGCAACAGCCAGCTGTGAATACACAGCCTCAAGTCCTAGTAGGAAAAATATGCTTTATTTGTCCTGCCTCTAGTAGGTGTGTACAAAAGGTAGTGAAGTTTGTTTTGTTTAGTGCCTTATTTCTACGTTAGTGCATAGATGCTGGTAGCAGGCTGGACAGCCAAATGGTACCACCCAGCAGGAGGCAGGTTCCGTCTCACTAGTGATGTCTGCAAGTTCTGTGATGCAGCAGGGGTGCAGCTCTGCAAACTCTAGGTTTTATTATTTCAAATATAAGGATGACATTCTGGCAGATGCTGTGGCACTTTGTAACATAAAAATAAAGCTCTCATGAGCTAAACAGGTTGGTCTGACTGGCTGCTCATTTTCTTGCAGTGGCTTACATCATCTGTACACTTAACTGAATTTCACTGCGTGCAAAATACCTATGACATGTGAATGTGTTACTAATAAGTATCTACTGTTACACCCTCTGCTGAATGTCAGCAGGTCGCTATTATGCCTGGTACATAGTGTAAAACCAGCTTCTAACAGGGATTTCTGGAGGTGGTTGTGCCTGGCAGGGAGCTTGGATGTAGCTTCGCGTTCAGTGGGAAAGATTTTACCTCCATGTAGTTTTCTTCACATACAATTTCTCTTGAAGCCCAGGAAGAGTAGGAGCAGTACATAGGGTAAGTGTAGGTCACAGCTGCCCTCATGCTTGAAAATGAGGAGACCTTGATGTTCACAGTCAGTGAAAACAGCTCATCTGCCTGGGAAGGAAAACAGGCCATTCAGCAGATGGTGTGGAAGGTTCCAGGAGCAGCTGGATGGGACCATCCAGACCAGCGTCCTGTTTCCAAGAGGGGTTTACAAGGGTGAGAACAGGTTGAGAGCTGTAGGGACAGTTTCTCCAACATAACACCCTGTCTTAAGTGGTTTGTGTTCAGGGGCTTTCTGAGACAGAGATGTCTCAGCACTTGCAGCCTTTGCCTCAGATCAAATCTCAGTGCTATTCTTGCCACAGTATTAAGGAACAGCTAGCCAGGGGAAGATCTAACCTTCCTGACCAGCTGGTTCCCGTTCTTCCCATTCATGACTGCTATGTGCCTCCTCGTGGAGAGAGAGTACTGGAGTTCTTAGTTTGGTGTAGGTAGTTCAGATCTGTCCTACAAGTGCTGTTTAGTGTCTCTCTTGAGTAGCTTCACTAAGAGCTCCTCTTGGTCCTTCAGCTCTCCAGGAGACAAACATGAAGCCATGGACTGTGCTTCTATCTGACATGGATGTATATTTTTCTACAGAAAAAGGCAAAACCTTTCCAAAGAAATTTCCAATCTGGAAATCCTGGTTGTTGCACTGCACACTGTACACCACCCCCGCCCTACCCGTTCTTGTTAGCATAACCTCTGCCCATGAAGTTTTACCTTATTTTTTTCTGTGTGGCTTCCAGGATCAGCCAGACTAAACATGGACAAGCAATGAAGTTTCTATTCTGATATGTTCTGTTTCTAGGTACGTTGCATCTCAACTAACATTTGGAAATCAAAAATCCAGGCTGAACTTTTACACGTTTTAGGAAGGGGTGAATCACCTTCCGGAGATGCCTGTTTCTCTCCGTTGACTATTGTGGAAGTGTAAGCAACTAGTTTAGACTAGACATTATCTTTTAGATGGCTAAAGTTACATGCGACAAATCTGGGTCTAACAGATGTGTGTGAGCTACGTTCCTAGGCATGTGTTAACAGGCACATTACCACACAAATTAAGCCAGGAAATGATCTGCCAGAATCACACTGCAAATGTTGCTTTTTCAAGCAGATGCCTACTTCTTTCCAGAGAGGCTTTCAAGAAACTCTCTGGCAAATCAGCAGCTACAAGTATATGCCTGAGAACTGGCAGCTAGTCAGCAGCATTAGGCTAAGTGTCGTTTCATGGAGAGAGGAAATCCCATGTCAGTCACAGTGAACAAACCTCGTACTGGAAAGCCATTGCCTATTCATTTCTACACACCATCAACACTAACTCCTTGAGTTTACTGTTTCTTGACTTCTTAAAACATGACATTGGAATGCCATATAATATCCCAATCTTGTCTTTTTGGAGACAATGTACTGTCTGAAATTATTTTCAGCCCATCTCTGGGTCTTACCTCGTTGGCCACGTGACAGCCAAGCACCGATGCGCGGAAGACGGGGTTGCCCCACACGTCTTCTGACAGGACATAGCCACAGCGAGATGCTAGTTTCTCATCCAGCAGAATGGGGCCAGCATGAGGATCTACAGGAAAAGGGAACGTTGTGTGGGTTGGAAAGCTCAGGGTAAGTCATGGGGCAGAGTGGTCCTAAGGTGCCCTCACACAAGTCTCCTCTGAAAAGAGGTCCAGCTGGTTTGGGTGGTCTCCAGCGATGTGTGCTATTAAGAAGCTGGTGAAGCTGTGCTGGTATGTGTTAGAGTGCATGAGGCAGTCTGGCATGTCTCAAACTCACCCACATTATGCTCACTTTAATGCCCATTTCTTTGTGTCCAGAAGCTTGTGCCACAGCCACCTTGAAGTGCTACTATGGAGAGTTTCTCCGGGGTGTCACATACATTTATCCCTCCCTGATTTTACACTCTAGAAAAGAGTTATGGGCTATTAAGCCGATCCATTTCTAAAAATCCTCAGGTTGTGAGAATTCATTGCTCACTGATCAAAGGATGCAGTCATGGACCTATTTTGGATGGGCTCTTCTATAGATTGCTCAGGTTTGCGGCTCATCTCTGCTTGGCAAGTCACTACATGCTGTTAAACCTACGGGAGAGCCAAGTAACAAGCACGGTGGGATCTGGCTGTGCTCAGCTCTTGATACTGATAAGGTTAATAACATCATATTCTCTTAATTATCTGCCCTTTGGTTAAGGAACTAGTTCAGTCTTGGGTCAGACACAAGAATCTGTACAAATAGATAGGGTTTAACTAGCTGCCGTTGTAATTTCTAGATTGGTCTGTCATCTTTACGTGTCGAATAGAACTAATAACTGCTGTTTCAGTAGATTTATTCTTGCAGCCAGGATAGACTAAGGAGACAGATGAGAAGAATTTTGGAAGAAGAGGGAATAGCTTTTATGGGACCAACTGATAGAGCTGGAAGAAACAAACAACCTCTTTGTGCCTGAAGGCTGGTCTGTTTTTTCTAGCGATATCAGTTGCTCTCATAAATGCTATCACTTCTCCCCACACCCTTGGTGTACTTGACTTTTTCAGTTCTGCCTCCAAATCAATTGAAAAAACCCAAAACCCAGAAAAAAAGTGGACTGATCTCAGCAGAAAGAAATCTGGTTTGGGGTGAAATCACATAATTTGTTCAATCCTGATGTGCACATTTTCTGGTTTTCATTTTGGGTAAGTAGATTTTTGTTTTCCTCAGCAAAATAGAAAGCCTTTGTTCAATCTGAACTAGGGTATTTAACTGCCATTGTGGTGTTAAATAAAAAGGAAATTTTTAAAAAATCCTTTAATTGCTGCAGCACTCAGCACTCTTTGGGAGTGTGTTTTCTGGGCATTACCTAGCCGACACTGCTGTTGTCATTTGTGCTGTCCAGGACATATCCAAGCTGCAGTGTGGCCTTTGTTTTCCTCTCTAGACGTGTGTAAGGGCTCAGCAGAGGAAAGAATGAAAGCCAAATGTCAGTCCTTCCTCCTCAGACCATCCTTTGTCCTTTCCCCAGCATGTTAGTTGTAAGGAGCAAAGGGGACTGTGGCTGTAGATACAAGCTTTACTCATCTGTAGGGATATTGGCCAAACTGAGGTGCGAGAGGCCAGGTCTAGGTGGCAAGGATGTTCTGCGAATTCTCTGGGGACAGTTACCAACTATTGTGTAGATGACAGCAGCATCCAGATCACAGACACTGTTATCATTTGCATGACTCCCCAGACTTCATGGTACTCGGCGCAGCCACTTGTGACTCACCATTGATTTCCAGCTGGAAGAACTTTCCCTGGAGTAAGAGTTTATTCAGTTTCATCCAAAAAATCCTGGAGTGGCAACTGCTCTCTACAAAACCTGGTGGGAGCACATATGGAGCACATGAGCCAGTGGGACAGGAGGGCAGAGAAGAGGCACAATTTGTTGCAAGCAAAATAACTGAGTTCTCATCCTTGCCTCTCCCTGCTATCCTTTTATCATGTTTCACCAACCTGGGGGAGCCATCTGCCTCCCTTGCCCCAGCCAGAACAGCAAGCAAAGCAGCCAGATCCTGCAGTGTAAGTACATGAACAAATGATGGGGTGAACAGAGAAAAAAAAAAGATCAAGATGGAAAATGAACAAGGCAGCAACCAAAGTCTCATTACCTGCATAGCGAGTAACCCACAGCCTCCATCTGTCCCCAGAGACCTGTGCATGGGCAGCAAAGTCCTCCTCCCTTTGAATCAAAGCTGACTCAGCTGTGGAGAGGGAACTTGGTCAGATCCAGGAAGAAAAGTATAGCTCACCTTTTACAAGAGAGAGATTGTGTTGGCTTCTCCGAACCTTGCGTGTGAATCAGGGGAGGACAGTGGCTTCTGTTGCAGAGGGAAGCCTGGGCTGAATCCTGATGTGTCCTCCAATGTTATCTGAGCTCCTGGCAGTGGGAGGCAGCCTCCCTCGCTGGGAGGGCAGAGCACCCTTCTGCCAGGTATTTACAAGGTCAGATGCTGCTTCTGAGCCTGATTCTCATGAGTGCAACAGGGTGCTTGGTGCTTTCCATCAGCTCCTGGGAGGTAATCTCATTCCTTACAAACTGGTTGGGTAGCTTTGGCTTCAGGTCTTAAGAGCACATGAAACATTTCCCCAGAGGTATTTTAAATGGGTCTACACAGGAAATACATTTTTGTTACTGTGAAATGTCCCAGTGACCCAGCCATGCCAGAGATAACAGCAGTTCTTTGGCAGCTACACATTTTTCTTTTGTGGATCCAGTTAGGTCGCCCTTTGATTTATTTGATTATCAGGGAGCGTTTTGGTGAAAACATCTTGTTTTCAGAAGTGCTCCAATATCACTGAAGCAGTCAGACCATGTGCAGGTCTGTACATGGCCAAACATATTGCCTGAGAAGAGAAAGTCATTGAGCCTGGTGGGAGCTGTGGCTCTGGGACTGCAAGTGCCCCAGGAAGCGGGAAGGCTGAGAGGCTTGGTGAGCTAAAAATACAGCTTTTGTGGCATGGATGAGCTACGGTGGGGTGAGAAGTATGGGTTGACATTTTAGCCATTGAAAAACAGGGCTCAATCTCCTTTTGGTCCCCATTTTGGGGCATTACCCAACCATTCTTACCTTACTTTGGTTCACATGCAGGAGCAGAGCTGTGCCGTAAATTGAGATTGTTTTTACAGTACTTCACACTGCTTTGGGATATGTAGGGGAACGAGAACAGTGGAATTTGCTCCTCTGTCTCCCTCTCTCAGAGGACCTCTGCAATACCAGCAGAACCCACACCATCACCCTGCTAGACATGTTCGCTTTATACAGCAGGGAGCTGGTGGCATGCTTGTCTGAGTGTTCTGGAGCAGAGCCCTGGGGCTTTAGCAATCTTCTAATTAACGTCCTTTGGCCACAAGACACTTTCTCATTCAGTGGGAGCAAAAGTCCAACTTGTGCAACAAACTTCTCATGAGCCCACGCAGGACTTGCTGCATGATCCTGGCCTGTGTTAACTGTGCGTCCCCGGACTCGGAGTGACTCTTCATTGAATCCAGCTGGGGCTGGAATTCGTCTGGAAATGGCGGTATTCAGATACAACAGTGATGAGTGTGGTGTAACAATGAGATTTTGAATTTTGAGTGAAAACTTCAGTATATTTGAACTGCAAATGGTTCCAATTTTGATAAGCCACTTCCAAGAGCAATGTAGCATCTCTCTGAGATACTGAGAGTCAAGGTCTGAGGGAGCCATGTTTCAGAGAGCGTGATTGCAATTTATTAATGAACAGCCAACCATCAGGACAGGTACACGACTGCAATTAGCTGCCTTCTTTGCACAAGCAGTGGGGGGATGAATTTCTGGGTCTTTGGACAGCTCAGAGCATCGTGATTACTCTGTTTCTGGCATTAATTGTGGTTCTAAATGTGGCAGAAACAACTTCGGATGTGACATAGCAATTGCGGTCAGTGTGTGATAGCCAGCTCTTGGCCTTGTTGTCAACTAAGTAAAGCAAAGCAAGCCCAGGTCAAATGCTTTTGGCTTCCAAGGATCACTTAAGTGCTGTGGAAAGCATTGTTAGCACTGGTCAGCTGGAAGCATCAGCTGCTTGTGGTCCCTAAAGTCCCTCTGGTAGTCATTGCAAAGATAGGGAGGATAGCTTGTACATTCCAGGTTATTATGTTTGTCTACTTGTTTTTTCTTGCTGTTTTGGCTGTGTAGAAGCACCCATCCTAATGTTCTTGTAGGGTAATAAACAGCTGCTGTGTTTCCATGTTGAGGTGATGGCATTCTGTGGCAGATGATTCATGGCTTGGGTTCTTTTGAGCTTAAAGGTATCGTATGAATGTAATGTTTTGGTTTCTCTTTTTTTTTCTTTATGGGTCTGGGACTGGGTTTTGTATTATATAATGTGATCGAAGGTTTAAAACCGGCCACTTGGAGCAGCATACTTACAGCATGTCTCCCAGTGAAGCTTGCTTGTAGCGGTGGAAAAAGGCTCCAGCCCTTTGAGTCATGGTGCTTGTCTTTCTGTTGTTCTGTGGCACTGAAATCCACAGGTTAGTTGAATGCTACAGAAAAATACTTTTTCATTTTTCTGTCCCAGGTCTTTTAATTATAACTGTATTTTTTTTAAATGCAAGGAAAGTTTGGTTTGTTTTTTTTTTCACTAGGTCTCATGTGATGATCTTAAGTAAGGCTCATAATTCGATACTTAGTCCGAGTGTAGGATAGAGTAAAATGGCACCCATTATTGGACAAAAAAATAGCTAGTGAACAATGGGAAAGGAAATGAGGTGAAGTCTGGTTTTAATGTACCAAAAGCAGAATCTTTGCTTATAAAGAGTTGGGAGAAGCCAAGATAAGGGTCCCTTCCCTCCTTGTCCTCTTGCAGCTGCAGGACTGAAAAATCTGAAATAGAAGTATTGTTATGGCAGTATTTCTAAACCTAGAAATAGCTGCCCAAGAGGGTGACCTAAGATACAGCAAACAACTAGAGACAGTCACTAGGGCATCTTCAAGAAGGAGATGCTAGAGGAGGTGCTTCTGCATGTGAAGGCCTATGCCTTGTAAGCTGGGAATCAGATATCCAGGTTGTGAGTCCAGCAGGTGAGAAGTGGGAGTGATGCTAAGCTTTATCTCTGAAAAACATGTCCTCAGGGTGTGTGCCTGTGAGACACAGAGAGGTGCAAGCGACCTCCACCTGCAGCGTAGCACTCCTGTTCTGGAAGGGGCTTGATTGCCTTGGCATGGATGTTTGCCTGAGCTCTGCTCTCACCTGCATGCTCTGGGAGCTTGTAAGTGCATTCAAAGGGCTTTTAAATTCCCAGGGCAAAAATAGTGTATAAGGATCGTTCTGGTTTAACTTCATATCATACCACAAGATAACCTCGCTGATGAAATGAAGATACTCTGCCCATTTTCGTATGCACACATTGCATTTCAGAGGGCTGAGGCCTTACTGTTGTGTGCAGATAGTGTAGAGGAAAATATACCCTGTAAGGAACAACTATAGAATAATCAGCCCAGAGAGGCAATTTCTTCCTATCCCCATGAGTTAGTAGTTGGCTTATGCCCTGGACTGTGAGGGTTTACATTCCTCATTCATTATTATAAAACTATTATTATTATTATTGTCTGTATAATGTATGTTTAGAAAGTGTCCTTGTGTTTATGCCATTTTTATCTTTAAAATATGCCACACTCAAATTTGTATGAATTCCCAAAAACAACACTTGCTATCGTGGCATGCCACTGAATTGTTAAAGTGGTGGAAAAAGCGCAAATAAGCAGACCTGTATAATGATGGGCTTTTAATTTTTCTTAACGTGCTATTGGTGTTAATTTCTGTGTGCCTGTAATGTTTGTGTTCACTGTAACCGAACAATAGAACTTTGTTTTTGTTCTTTGTGCAAATTAAAAACATCTGTTCTCTTTATACGAAAAGTTGTTTTTTAAAAGAAGCTGGTCTGATCTAACTAAATACCAATGCTGTGTCCACAATGAGTTACTATTAATATTTGGGAAAGGCAACCATCCAAAGCAAGTGTAATGTCAAGTCACTGGCGGGAGTGCATATTTATTGCTCAAAGTGACAGATAAAAATGCAGAGGTTACAAAAACAAAATTCTTGTGGATGACTAATGATGCATATATATGCCCCCAGTGCCCCATCACCACATTTACAATTGGCAGGGTGTTCTTCACCGCCTCCTGCTCCCCAGGATTAATTGACAAGAGACTGGTAGCTTGGCACTCTCCCTGGAGGAGCAACACTGCTCCCACCTTCCCTCCGGCAGACCCTGCATGGAGTGACCTTTGGGGCATGCTGGAATCTGATCCCTCTATTTAATTTGTCTGACTTTTCCCCCACTTTGCTGTGGTATTTGACCGTATAGGTTTATTTTCTGCCAAAGGCATGTGACTTTTTCTCTGTGCAGGTGGAGGAAGTGGAGAACCCACTGCACGTGCTGGTAGAGCTGGCATGATGGTTGTCTTCAGAGTTGTCCGTGAAGTCCTGGTATGAAGGGGCTGGCAGCCCAAGAGAGGAATTCTGTCATCTTTCTTGTGAGGAGCAGTCCTGCCTCTGGCAGCAGTCTTGCTGAAGTAGTTGGAGGTTATTTCAGAGAAATAAATACGCTATTTGTCATGAGCACCAGTGGTAGAGTTGGGGTCCGGGAGGTTCAGTGCACTCTCTGCCCAAGTGGTTATGTGGCCTTGTCAGTAATGTATTTGAGCACCACAGAGACAATGAAGTTATCCTCACAGGCAGACATCTTGGGAAGGAAATACATCTAATTAACATTTCTTGATGAAAGGCCTGATTCAAGAAAGCATCCCTACTGAGTGCAGCAGTTAAGCCTTTGCTTAAATCTCATTTATGTCAGTAAGATTTAAGCACGAGTAAACCCTTTCCAGACACCGGCTGTGTAGAGCCATTTTCTCCCCTTCCTGTCACCTCTGGTGTCCTGTGCCAAGGCTGCCCAGCCTTTCACTGTCCAGAACCAAGGAAAAAACTCCACTGTGTTAAAAAATTAAATATTTTGTTGATATTCTTATTGCAGTCAGTGCCACAACAGACGTCAACCTATTATCAGCATAACTTCCCTTCTCCCTATTAAGATGCCCCATCCTAACGGAGCCCTGTGCTCCTTGCCTCTCCATTCCCTTTTCCCTGACTATCCCTAATACTTGTATTATTCATCTCCATCTCTTTCCACAGCATCTCCCCTCTCTCTCTGCTTTGTACTGCATCATCCCCCCATCCAGCTCGCACCAGGTACCACACCGGTGCTGGCTGCAGCCCGGACGGGCGGCTGCCTCCTGGGGAGCCCAGCTATCATCAGCTG